GGCTTTGCATCTATAAAAGTAGAAAAAAGTTAGATATCTATCAGAACTGAAAGTATAGATTCTTAATGAACTAGATCTTGTCCAATAAAGCTTTAGTCTTTAAGCTCTTAATTTTTATTATCATTACTTTATCCATACTGAACAGAATCAAAATTGACATATGAGATCATCGTATAAAAGTAAAACTAATTCCTATTATTATTATGGAATGATTACTGATCACACAGATAAGACCTCTTAATTTAGCTTCTATTTTTGAATTTAAATCATTTTTCTAATACTGTATTGTTATACTGGCTAGTAGAGTGCTAACAACTAACTAAAATTTAATCCAGCATTACATTATTAGCAAGTTTATATCAAGACGATATTGAATCCATTGGATATAGTTTGACACCATTTTTGAAATATTAAATTAAGTATTATCAAATTAATTTGGGCTTAACTGTATCTTGTAAAATTTATTAAGGTTAATTATTTAAAATGAATATCCGTATGAAATAATGAATCAGAAATTAAATAATTGGATCACTGCTATCTACCTTTCGTAGGTTGTAGAATTTTCTTAGCTGCACTCAATACTAAAGCTTCATCGTTGGAATGTAAATTTCTTAAATGTAATTCAAGGTCACCTCGTATAATATTCTGCAACCATTTAATCAAAGTTATTCTAATTATATTTATATTTTGTAGACAAATATGCTAGTAAGAAAGTGATTTTAGGCAATTAGTAGATGTTGGCAGCAAAAAATGCTCCAATCACTGCATTTACAGAAATTTCTGACTCTTACTCTCCAATATTACATGCTACACTTTATCTTACAATATCACTTTATCAAAGTCTATATATATAACTGAATTTTTATAATGAACATTGAGAATTTTGCAATAAAGTTACCTCTTTTTTTCTGAGCTGTATGCGCGCAACACGCGTGATTCTTAATTTGCTGGTTGTCTGTAGAGTTTCTCCAGGCTTCTGTTATAAAGTGGTTAGGAAAGAAACTTGGAAATAATGATACATTACACGGCACTACATAAGGAGATTTTTTGCTTTACCTCCAAATTGTTACTTCATAGTCAATCGATTTGAATATATGAACATATTTTTATATAGTCGATGTACCTCCGTTTTCCTAAGCTTTGCTTGGGAACTGAGATTTGATTTCTTGGCCTTACGCGAATATATTCTACGTTGTTATTTATTAGCATTGGAATAAAATATGATTAAGCAGTTTTTTATTTACTTTAGTCTGAAGCTAGAAATAAGCAACTGTGCTATAGTCTAACTAGAAATCACTAGTTGATGTTGGAGCTATAATGTAGTTCATATTGCAAAGATCGATTCTATCAATATTTAATGGAATAGATTTTCATTCTAAAAGTTAGCAGTAGGACTGATTTTAAACGTTTACTGACATTGCAATAAAATTTAATTATTACCTGTATAGATGTCCGAAAATTGATTTAGTCAGCGTTGTTCCTAGTTATGCATTTTGACTTACCAAGTCGAATTACATTCCTATATCAAATTTATTTTAATGGTAACAACAAACATACTGCTAATAATCTACTAAAGATATCTCTGATTAGGCCATCTTTCTGAATGTTATTTATACGATACTTGAAATAGCTATCATCATTCAATGCGATAAAATCATTACCAAGTAATCTATGTAATTGAATAATCGTACGTCTATGTAGCAAATTCAGCTGTCGTATATTAATGCTCGTTGATTCTTCAACGTTTACACTGAAAATTTTGCCTTACCTTCTTCGTTGGAGTTTTTAAGTTCAAAAATTTCGTTATTGCTTGTTCGCAACTTGCAAATCTAATAATAAAGACTGCCATTACTTAATTGAAGACATAGCATTATCATGATTTAGTCATCCAAAGGAACAGAATTTAAATAGGAAAACGTTTATTCATTTATAAGAGATTGGATAACTGCATATTAAGAACAGGGATAAAATAAAGAGTACCAACATTAAAAATATTAACTATACTATATTTTAGTGCTATAAACTAACCAATAGATAATGATGATGATATCAAATTACAAAGATTTTACCAAAACATTCTTATTTTAGCGCAAGAACTTAGTGATTGTATCTTACCGACTTGTACTTCTTCACCTGGTATAAATTTTACCAGTTGACAAACTGGCTGCCCAACTAGTAATGATTACGAACCAGTCGAGGTGATTTTAGGTATGCAAGACTAACAATCTGGGAGCAATTTATAAATCTTTACAACCGAAATACAATTAGGCTTAATTCTATTAGCATGCAAATCAGATATTATTGCTGAAAAATTAATGTTCACTCCTACTTTAAGAGACTAAAAGTGGATAAGCTTGGATTGGTTAATTTATGCTCTCAGCTGATTGTTTGTTTAATCCTATTCTATTAGCCTAATGCATTATTTGACGTAAAAGAATTTGCAGATAAATGACCCAAGTTGATAGAAATTAACTGAAATATGCTCAAATACATCACGCAAGGTCATTTTACTCGCCTTTGCAATGTTTTTATAATTGATACCGCATTTTTTAATCTCTGAAAGAGATTTAATTAATTGTAAAATATAGTAAGAAATATATTATTCATATACATATTACGAGACAAGATTATCAAATTTATTAAAATTAACCATTCAAATGTGGAGTTTTTAGCTAGTAGAGAAATATCGATTAATGTTTTTTCATGCCGCAATTTATCAGCTGAAGTTTATTATTGCTTTTCTGCTTTTAATTTTAAAAGTAGAATCTGTTGAGATATTGCCTAGAAAAATAAGTAGCTCCTTCCAATAATATCGGTTCTTGCTATAAATCTCGTAGCAGTGGAATTAGTGAAGAAAATTAAACGGATAGAGTAATTATTATGGCATGGTAATACTTTAAAATTCATATTCTTCTTTTCAGTTGCCAGGAATATTAGTTCAGTTGCGCAAACATAATTTTACAGCGCTGATCAAATTTCTGTATTATTGAAAAGAAAATTATATCACTATTTGTCACAACGTCGTTTGCAACAATCGGATTCCCGTTCCACACTTATCCTACTCTCCTCTGTCCTACAGTAAAACTGCCACCAGGCGTTACTACTCGCTCCACTTCAGCGAAGGACCTCAGTCAACAGTAAAGGCGGACTAGAAGCGTCTGGATAAATTTACTAAACTAACTTTATTAGGTCTCCGTATTTTCCTCCTCTCTAGCGAGGTAAATTACAACCTCTTATATACTTGTATCAAATCTACACCTTTTCCACCTGTTAATTATTCTTATGCATAACTTAGTCTTTTCTATAACTTTGTAATCCTATTAATTACTATCGAACAAATATGTGATAATTGATATTATTATGTGCTAATGATATTATAGCGCCAATTAACAATTTAAGATCTAACAGATTCCCTACAAGTGTGACAACCGCCGTTTTGGTTATTACACGTCATTGGCATATTAAGTACCTTACTTCTACACATTCGTTAATGGAAGTCCATTAACGATTGAATCTCACAATATTAACAGATCATAATATTTATGATTATCTAATCGTAACCGTCTATTTCTTCTTCAATAACATTATCACATAATATCTTAAACCGTAACACTATTGTAAGCTTATATAAATACTTTACTAATTACTGACGAGTTACTTGGTCAATATCGGTTAAGAGTATTCTTCTAGCATCTTCAAAGCCTCCCTTACTGGACATATTCGGATCAGTACGGCTTCCAAGCTAATTTAGATAAAATTCGCCTAGTTAAAAATAAAGGTAGAATTTCAATATGATTTAGATTTCAACTTTTTTCTAAGGTGCTAGTGGTTTTTGCTAAGCCATCTATAAGTAAAAGAAGCTATAATCTCCTGTTCATTGGGTATAATTGACAGCCAATGTTAACGATATTGCTATAATCATTAAATTATCGACACAAAGGATATTTTATTAATTTGTTGCAATTTTTGTTTGTGTTATGTAATATCGATACATTTTTCTGTAACTGCCAGCAGTAATACAAATACATCTATAAAATATTTTTCGTATTATGATGCAATTCAAATGATATACCTTGCTCTCGAATATCCAATGATATTTACTCTGAGCAGATTGCCAGCATCATATATTCTTCTGTATTTCTGCATATTTAGGATAAAGTTAAATATTTTGACTACAAGGTCTTAAATTCCGGTAGTCAAATAAGTCAATGAGAATGTATGATTGCCATTATAACCGATTAAGGTTATAAGCTACGTTACCATTTCTGTAATCCATTGCATCTGAATACTTTCGCTATTAAAGTCTTGACTCACAATTAAATATAGACTTTCTCTGTATTTGAAATAGTTACAGCAGAAATTAATATAAATTATTGGACCACTAACAGACATATAGATATATGCAACAGCCTAGTCAAGCAATTTAAGTTATCTCAGTCGACCCATAAATGTATCCCGCTTATTGTAACTGCTATACTGTACGAACATATACTAGTAGTTAAAAAATACTTATTTGTCCATGAGTTCGCAATAATATGCAAAGTATGTGATTTATGAAAGATTGTGTAATCAATTGCTCCCATAAACGCACATAAGACCATATACTGTAGTACCGGTTATAGTCCATGACAAGACATTCCATTTTTGTCAAGTTTTAGAATACAAATATAAGAACAAGAACTTTAGGGTGACTTATCCCAGCCACCCTCCCTTGAAACGAGCAGCGCGGGGGTATTTATACTACTGTTAAATGACTCTGATTATGGGTTCATTTCAATAGGTCAGTATAAGATTCTTACAGTACTTTTAACCTCAAGATTTCTTCATGTAAAACGAATAGCTCTAAGGTAGTAATTTCTGCAGAGTACTGATTATTAAAATAGTATTCGTTATATCGCTAAGGGTGGCCACTGGGCCTTTAAATTTTGATTTCATGTAATATTCTGATGAAAATTGAATAAACATAGAATCTTTATAGAGTTTTCTATACAGCCATTTTGATTGTTACATTTTCTTATAACGGTTGTTATCGACAGAGCAAGCTTTGCTTGCATACGACAGCGATCCTTAGACACATTATAATGATTGGTATAGAATTGACCACAGTACGAAGGACATTCTACCGCACTGTAGATATCTTACAGTACCTGCTAATCTTAACTTGGTATGTCCATCACCGTACATTAGTTATCATAATGTGCTCTGCACCATTAACTAATCTTAATATAGCATAGTATATTACTGTTACTAGGATATATATAATATCGAATGATAATACTATCTGTTAATTTTATTAACAAATTGACCATAAACGTATATTTGACAGTTTCGCTCACCAACCTTAACATAGCATTAATACCGTATATAGTAACCATCCT